TGTCTGCGGTGGTTTCTGGTCTCCCCTTCCTCCGCCTTTGTGCTACCATCCTCCACATCTTCTTCGGTCGCATCTTCACTCTCCTCCTCTTCCTCCTCGGAGCTGGAGAAATTCAGCTTCTTTTTCTCCTTCTTTTTCTTCTTCTTCTTCGTCTTTTTCCGATTGGCATTTTTATCGGTCCGCTGTTCGCCATTCTCATCTGTCTCCATGTCGTCGCCCGGAAGTGCAGCCTGGAACTCTGCGCCACAAATTGCAGCTGAAGAAAAAAGTGGCACATATGACAGATCAGAACATGATGATGCTAAGGAAATAGAAAGTATGCATGGAAAAATTCAAAATTCGTAAGTGGTGCTTAGAAAGTTCAACTTGAAACAAAACAATATTAAGGAAATCAAAAAGTTGGGGCTACGCATCCGATAAGATACAGATATCGCAAATGGCCATCCTAGTCTCCCTTGTCTTTGTCGGTAATGTCCTTCCGCCTATATCATTAGCCGCCTTGTGGTGTAGGCTCGAGTGTGAATTCCAAAGGCACCATAGACGGACGAATTTGTCCCATAACGGATTGGTGTACGCGTATATGCCACCCAAGCAAATACCGGCAAGAAAACGAGCTCGTAGCCCAATGGTTAGGGCGTTTGACTCTGATCAAAAATATCGCGAGTTCGAGGCTCGTGTGGTGTACCACCTGGGGTTCGGTATGACTGGCTGATGACGGCTAATAAGCCAGAAATGGCCATCCCAATCTCCCTTGTCTTTGCTGGCAATGTCCTTCTGCAGATATCGGAAGCCTCTGCAAGTACTCCTGGGCCATAGGTAGATTTCTTTAGCTGGGGCAATTTGAATAAACGACAGTGGTGGGAAAAGGAGTTGCCTTTCGTGCAAACAGCCAACAGTAAGACCTTATGAAGTCAATAAGCATCCTAAGAGTGGCTAAAAGCTCTAAAAAGCCCTCTTGATGGGCTGTCTTGGTGCACTTTTCGATTTTTTAATCTGTCCTGTCAGGATCGGTGTGGTTTATGCTGTTATGCCTATTTCAATATAGAGGTTCACGAAACATGACTTCGATGGTACCGAGGGCATTCACAGTGACATTTGGTTTCTTAAGAAGAACAATATGAGTACGAGGGCAAAATATTACCAAAACTGTCTTCGAGAATTTTCAAGCGTTCCTCCTCTTTGGTTAACACACTCACCAGGTCGGAGCCACTCAACTGAAATAAAAGGTAATATAAATCAGAAAGGAGACGTGAAACAA